CTTTGGGGGGTTGGGGACTCAGAGAAATTATTTTACTGCTGGCCTTTTCTGCACTAAACCCTTGAAAGATTGGGAATTGAGGAAAGTGTCCCATAGCATTTATACTGGTAAATATAAAATGACTTTTAGTTGTACCAGGATGAAGCAAATGAGAGACAAAGGCCTAAAAATGTTTTGTAGCCCAGTCAGTGGCTGAGTGCTGACCTGTGAACCAGGAGGTCACAGTACAATATCCAGTTAGGGTACATGCCCTGGTGTCGGGCTCAATCCCAAATTGGGAAGGAGGCAGCCAATCAGTAATGCTCTCTCATCACTGATGTTTATCTCCCTCTCTTTTCCTTTCTGAAATCCATAAAAATATATTTAAAAAAATATTTTGTAAACGGTCAAGCATAAATCAAAGGCAATGTCTTTTTCATCAGAAATCACCTCACCATTTATTTTGTGCTGAGAGGAAAATTTAACGTTTAATATTGCTGATGCAGGAAAAGCAAAACAAAAAAAGGGACTTAGAGAACCATCAGTGAAACAATTCAAAGAAGTTATAATGTTATATCATAATCTGTCGGAGGAGACTTGAAGTTCTTTGGGTTCATGATAAATCCCCCAAAACTAGCTCTGTGACTCCAACCTCAACCTCACTCTCATGCCTAATTCACAATGGAAGCTTTCTTTCCAGCTGTAACTACTCAGCTATTTTGTATCAAGCTTCTACCCTGCTCAGAATCCTGGCTGTCTCCAATTTGGTTGGACCCCAGGGACAATAGTCAAAAGAATCCTGAGACTTCACTAAACTCTGAGTAGCTCCTGCAACACCACCCACCAGGAGTACCTTTAGGCCCCCCCCCCCCAACCTTCCCTAAGTGGGGGGTGGCAGATTACAGAGTCCCTAATCACCTGGGAATTGGTTAGAAATGCAAATGTTTGACCTTTCCCACTCTACTGGCATTTGCATGTTCACAAGATCCTCAGAGGCTGTGTGCACATCACCGGCTGAGAAGCTCTGGCCTAGAGGGGTGGTTCCTCACCTTTCGTGAGCGTCACATCACCTGCTGCTGGGCCCGGATCTGGGGCCACAGGGAGAACCACTCTCTGGGCTCCACGGCTGGAGGATTAACAGAGATGCAACAGGTCCTCTCCCGTTTACTGAGTGCGAGGGAGGATTCCTACACCTCCCATCTCAGCCTGAGAGGAATCCAGGAAAGCTCGCACTCCTCGGGGCCTGTGGGTGTTTTAATACTGCTCCTGTTTAAACAGAGCCGGGACGAGAGGTTCTAGGGCCTCTGTACCAACGCCAGAGTAAATGTATGGCAGAGGCTCTTTCCGGGAATGTGTTCTGCCCACCTTTAAGGCAAACAGAGCCTGGGGTGCTGCAGCGGAGAGCTGAGGGGATGGGTGGTCCCTAGCTGAGAGCAGGACTGGGCAGGCTGGGGACCCCGCATCAGCCTTTTCACGGAGTGTTGTGGGTTTTTTTAAATATATTTTACTGACGTTTTGCAGAGAGGAAGGAAGGATAGAGAGTTAGAAACATCAATGAGAGAGAAACATTGACCAGCTGCCTCCTGCACATCCTCTACTGGGGATGAGCCCGCAACCAAGGTACATGCCCTTGACCGGAATCGAACCAGGGACCCTTGAGTCTGAAGGCTAATGCTGTATCCACTGAGCCAGACCGATCAGGGCCAGAGTGTTCTTTATAAAGGCCCTTGGGAATGCTCAGAGCTCTTGCATCCACTTGTGTCCTGAGGGCACAGCAGCCAAGCACCCAGGGCAGACACACACTGAGGAGCACGCAGAGGCCAGGCCAGCCTCAGGTCCGCTCGCTTGCTCACAACCCGCACACTGCTGCATGCTGCTGCCTTTCCGTGTTAAAGATCCACCCAAATGCAGAGGCAGGAAACCTCAAGCGAGCAGTTACCTTCGCATATAGACATTTACCAAGGAGGACACAGAACCCATTCTGAATAAGATGAGTGTTGACCGGCAAGAGCTTGTAGCTCTCACCCAATTTCCCCTGGATGGGAGGAGGCAAACTGTTTATAGTTTGTGAGACCCAGATTGTGTCTCACAAACTATGAATTTACACCACAGATAAGCTTCTAGGAGAAACAATAACTTCCACAGATTGCTTGTTGGGTGCCAGGGTCCGTGCCAAATGTTTACAGGTATTACTTTAATCCTGGCTATGAGGGTAATAGCAGTGGAAACTGAGGAACGGAATCCTTACATGTTTTGTCCAAGGTTACAAACGTAGTTTGGCATCCAAGCCTGTGCTTCTGACCACAGACCACATGTGGCAGGTTCCAGAACAGCAGCTTGGTATGGTGGGAAAGAGTCGAACAGTATTGTGCACACCATTGATTTGAAAAAAATTAAAAAAAAATAAAATAAAATCCTGGTCAGTGTGCTCAGCGGTTAGAGTGCCAGCCTTTGCACCAAAGGGTTGCAGGTTTGGTTCCCAGTGAAAGGCATGCACCTGGGTTACAGGTTGATCCCTGGCTCTAGTGTGGGAGGTAACCAAATTGAAGTGTCTCTCTCATATTGATGATTCTCTCTCTTCCTCCCTCTCTCCCTCCCTACCTCATTTTCTCTGAAAACAAAACAAAACAAACAAAAATACTAAAAAACAACAATGGAAAAAATATCCTCCAGTGAGGATTCAAAAGAAAACAAAACAAAACAAAAAAGCCAAAAACTTTGTATGTTTGTTTGTTTGCTTATTTCTTTATTGGCATGAGGGCAGGAGACAAAAACCTAACTAGGCACCCTGCTTTATAAAACAGATATTCCGGGTGAAGCTAGGCAGAGGCTCTGCACCCCTGCCTACTCCCACAGCCCCTCCCCCACCGCCCCGTTCACTCTCAGGGAGTGGTTCCACCTCTGTGGTCTCTGGCCTCGATATTTTCAATTCTAAGTCCACTCCTTGCCTTCTTTCCACCTGGGGGAACTAGGAAACTTCTCCCCAGTTCCAGTCCTGGAGGGCAGGGCAAAACAAGTCATGTGCTCTTGAAGGGAACGGTTCTGGGGTGCCTGGACTTGAGCGATGAGCTGAATACTTGCAGTATGATGAATTTTACTGAGCATCTCCAATTATTGTCAGTCATTGAAGGAAATGGTGGGAGAGTTGTTTAGGAAGTATCGTGTTAGCAAATTCAGGAAGAAGGTTGAGTCTGAGCTTCTGGTGTCTACCTGTGAACAGGTGTACCGGAAGCATTAATGGTTGGCCGGAAGCATTAATGGTTGTGCCGGAAGCATTAATGGTTGGCATTTGTCTAAGCTAAAGCATTAATGGGTATGTTTTAGGGGAGTGAGCACAGTGCTATCCCAAGTTCATAGAGTTCCCACACTACCTCTGTGTCTGAGGCGTGGGTAGTTGCCTGCCACACCACCATCCCCACAGCATTCTCAGGGAGGGGCCGCAGGTGACTCTGCCCAAGGACCAGAGTGGCAAGGGACTTGCCATTCTCTCCATGCCATCCAGAAGGCTAATGGCTGCCATTCTGGGTCACAGAGCTAGCTGGGCCAAACGGGGTCAGCCCCAGGGAGCGGACCGCATAGCCAGACTCTTCTACACGAGCACTGGACGTCTGGAGTGGCAGGAATTCAAGAGGCCATGTTAGTCTCCTGCAATCAATGACTAGATTGAATGCAGAATGGACCACATTTGGTGGTGGTGGTAGTGGTGGTGGGATGGAATGGTTCTCACCTTTAAAAAACAACAACACACACAAAAACAAAAACAAAACAAAAAATACTTGAACCTTAAATCATCTTTAACATTCTGGCAGACATTCTTCTAGTCTTTTTTCCTTTGCAATTTTTTTTTTTTTTACATAGTTGAATTCACAATGTGTACTTGATGTTGTGTCTTGTTTTTCTTTTACCTACCTGTATCAGAAGCATTTTCTCACGTGCTAATTATTTTTCATAAGCAGCAAGTAATCTAGAGTGAGCTAAGTAAATTTACCTGCACCTTGGTTTCCTCATGTGTAGAATAAGCAATGTTTATTTTATCGCACAACAGTCACCCGGAAGGCTATTTAATATATTTTATTGATTTTTCACAGAGAGGAAGAGAGAGGGATAGAGAGTTAGAAACATCGATGAGAGAGAATCATCAATCAGCTGCCTCTTGCACACTCCCTACTGAGGATGTGCCCGCAACCAAGGTACATGCCCTTGCCCAGAATCGAACCCGGGACCTTTCGGTCCACAGGCCAAAGCTCTATCCACTGAGCCAAACCGGTCCCGGCCTGGAAGGCTTTTTAAAACACAGATTGTGCCCTAGCCGGTTTGGCTCAGTGGATGGAGCCTCTGCCCTTGAACTGAAGGGTTTTGGGCTCGATTCCGGTCAAGGGCACGTACTTCGGTTTCAAGCTCGATCTCCAGCCCTGGTCAGGGCATGTGTGGGAGGCAACCAATTGATGTGTCTCTCACATCAGTATTTCTCTCTGACTCTCCCCCTCCCTTCCACGCTCTCTAAGAATTAATGGAAAAATAACGTCCGGTGAGAATTAACAAAACAAATGAAACAACAACAACAACAAACACAGTTTGCCGGGCCCCACCTCCAGAATTTCTGTTGCAGTGGGTCGGGGTGTGGCCGTAAATTGTATTCTGAGAAGTTCCTAGGAGATGCTGATACTGCTGATCAAGAAACCACCTTGGAGAACCCATGAAATGAGATTGAGTTGTGGGAATTCCAAGGTCACTGCTAGTTTCAAAATTTAAGTGTTTGCCTAGTTTTCAATTAAAAAAAAAAAATCCAACTTTTAAAATACATGACTTTTCTAAACTTAAAAAAAAAACCCATTTTTTTTTTTTTTAATGTAAAGGAACATCATCTATTATACCATTTACAAGTAATTGTTTTTACTTGGAGCTCACATGCGTGCCATACCTATTTCTCTTAGAAGTTACCTGGATTTTTTAAAGGAGATCTCTGAAGAACAGTCGGGCTTATATCTAATACTTTATTCTTTTTCTTTGCCTTTACATAGTTCCATATGTACTGAAGAGCTGTGCAGAATTTATAGAGACTCATGGCATTGTGGATGGAATTTACCGGCTTTCGGGAGTCACCTCAAACATACAACGGCTACGGTAAGCTGAAAGAATAGCTCGCAACAGAATTCTCTCACAATTCTTTCTCTGCCCATATCTCTGTCGGAAGGTGTTGGGATATTAAAAACCTGAAGGGACTGAGGGAAGGGTGGAGGGGCAGAAGATCAAGTGCCGCTGTTTTCGGACGCCTGTTCCTAATCTAATCAGGAAGTGCTCTAGCCTGATGTCATTCTTTCCAACAAAAGCTCCTGAGGGCTTTGAATCAGTTTCTTTGTTTTATACTAGATTTACCCTCCCTGGGTGGATTCGGTTGAACGCAAGTGATTTTAATTACGAGTTAGGGAAATATGATTTATAATAACTCACTTGCTTACCCAAAGCCCAGTTAGATCCCATTATATAGTGCTCAGAACTTGGAGATGGATGTGAGTTTTTCTCTTGGCATACACCCAACCTTTGATATGTCATCTGCTTGGGAACCCAGAAGTCTGCATGAAGGTGCATTTCTCTAAAAAAATTACTGATGGGTAAATGATTTCTAAATCTATGGATTTATCCCAAACAATTCTAAAATTTATTCTTGAGTTTTGGGAAAGCAATTTCTATCACAATGAATTCAGAGTACAATGATCTTCACACTAAACACAGATATGTGTGCATATATTTTATATGTGCTATGTATTAAATAAGAGGGATATATACACACTATTGAGAGAGAATATAGGGTGGGGTAAAAGTAGGTTTACAGTTATTCATATGGAAAAATAATGCAATAATCTATCTATCTATCTATCTATCTATCTATCTATCTATAAAAGCCTACGTGACTGACCTTTTGACCGGTAGCTGTGATACGCACTTACCACCAGGGGGCGGACACTCAGACTGGTAGGTTAGCTATTGTTGGGGTCCAGCAGAATGGGACTGAGAGTGAAACGCTCTGGACAAATCTGTGCACCAGGTTGGTTTCAGCCCGATCCCTGCAGGCCAGGCCAATGGACCCCACCAGTGCACTATTGGGGTGGGGAGGGACTGTAGGAAGGAACTCCAGGGCATGTCTGGCCATCTTGCCTAGTCCCTATTGGGGCCAGTTTGGGCCTGCTGTCCGAGAGGGACCCCATTAGTGCACGAATCTGGCTTCTCCACTTCTCCCTGCTCCTGAGGAGCGATCAGGGCAGTAGCCACTGCTCCCACCTGCAGATGACATAGAGCAACAGGGGCTGGTGCCAGCAGCAGGTGTAAGTGGGACTGGCACCATCAGTGGGTATGAGCAGTGGCTGCTGCCCTGATCGCCCCTCAGAAGCAGAGGGAGGTGGAAAAGCTCTCAGGGGTGATTGGGGCCATCAGCCACTGCTCTCACCAGCTGATGGCACTGAGTGATCAGAACTGGCATCAGGTACTGGCAGCCAATGTGAATGGCAGCTCTGGCGCTGGCTGTGGGTGCAAGTGCTGGGCAGGACTGCGGCACATGGGAGCAAAGAGTTTTCAGTAACCACCAGAGGCTCACCTCAATGACAGCAACTGGCACCCTGCCTTGGTTTGGTGCCCCCACTCACCTGCTTCACCATCCCACTGTGGCTGATGCCCGCCATGTTCCACACTCTGCTGCCTGCTGCCGACACCTGCCATGTTCCTCATGTGCTCCCTGGTGGTCAGCACACTTCATAGTGACCAGTTGCTCAGTTGTTTGGTTATTTAATTGTTCTGCCATTTGGTCTCTTTGCATATTAGCCTATTATTATATAGGGTAATATATTTATTATATGTTTTTAGTTATAAATGTAGACTTTTAAAACAACATAAACATTCTTATTCCAAGATTAATATATAACATTTAATAGATTGTGCAGGTAATTCATTTTTTTGTCTTATTATTATTATTATTGGTTTTCTCCCCCTCCTTCTTAAATCTCAATTATAATAAAATTATATTAAAGGAATAAAACATCCTTTTTATGCCTAGAGAGGTGATGGCTGTTAAAAAAAAACAACAACAACAAAAAAACCCACAACTGGTTTATTGCAACCATAGAGTTTAACGGGATCTATGTTAGTACATAATTTGACTAATTAACTAGTGTGACATTTTTAGAGTTTCAAAACCAGCAAATACTTTGAATGGTTTACTCTTCTCTCTAAAATATACTGCCCAGTAGTTGATATCATGGAGGAACACTTGGATGATGGTCTTTTTCACTTACGGACTGACCTTAGCCTCCACAAGGGACATTTTTGGCTAATGAAATGAATAAGCTTTAGGTCTTGTTCTGTCCTCTTAGAAAAACACATGCCTATGAATTTATGAGGCCATTGGTTTTCCTTCAAGGCCTTACCCAGTTCCTTTTGGGTTCATCGGGGATTCCCCTATCCTTGTTTCACGGAGAAGCAGAATACAGGAGGATGGGCAAGCTGTTTTGAAGTGCTGGCCCCGGGAGTCCCGTTGACTTTGTCACTGCTTGGTTGACCAAGGGAGTACTCTCAGGAACCCTAACTTCTCTTCTGTAATAAAGCTCAAACTTGTCATTGTTTAAAACCAATTTTTAATTTTAAGTATATATTAGTTAGGTCAGAATATTCATGTAACCTCATTAGGAAATGTTTTTTAATTAGATACGAGACCTAGAATCTGATAATGATGTTTAAGAAGATATTTATAAGCTCTTCTATTCTGTGGGAACCACTCACAGGCAGCCTAGAAGGTCCCATCCAGCATCAAAGAGATCATCGATTAGAGTTCTCAAACCTTGGGTTTGAGTCTCCAGATAAAACAAGCTTGTTGACATGAATATGTGAGTGATAACAATCTCACTCACCCCAGTTTTGGATTCTCCTCCAAGAAAGAGGACTTCATTTAGAACAATATTTTGGAAAAGCTGAAATCTTAACAGGCTTTTTTTTTTTTTGGCAAATTGTTTTCATATTTCCCCGAAACTGAGACTGTGAACATCATGCCATGAGAAACCCATTTGTAAGTGGGCATTTTGTCTTTCTAATTACAGCTGCCCGGGAGGAAAGACCCAGATCTGCAGTGGAAGTCTTCTCATAGCTCTCGTGCCCGAAATAGAACGTCTTTCTGTATCAGGGTCAAAAATATAGTCAGATCAGCGTTTTAGGGTCTTTTTACCCCTAAGCAGCTGCTGACACGGAACACATGTTCCCGGGATTGTTATGTCTCTGTCTGTGTTGTTTCAGGCAAGAGTTTGGCTCAGATCAATGTCCAGATCTGACAAGGGAAGTGTACCTCCAGGACATCCACTGTGTGGGCTCACTCTGTAAGCTCTACTTCAGGGAGCTGCCCAACCCCCTCCTGACGTATGAGCTCTATGAGAAATTCACGGTAAGTGTTTGGATTTCCATTATGGTTACTGGGTGGGATGCATAAATGGGCCAAGGAGGATTTCAACACTAAAATAACAATAATAATGCTCACCAGATGGATGACATTATCTTAGCATGGTGACAGACATAGCATGGTATAGTGAGGAAAATAGGGTAGTCGGGCTGTTTGCTACATTTTCAGAATCAGTTGAGGGGGAGAGGTTAGAGGGGGCTAATGGGGAGAAAGGGGAACGTGTGTAATACTTTCAGCGCTAAAAAATTATTTTAAAATATCCATAAGCATGTCCTCTGGTGAGGATTTTTTTATTTTTTTATTTTTTTCAGAATCATGTTTGTTTAAGAGCTGGGTTAAATGATCTCCAGGTTTATTTAACCAAGTGTATGTCATTGCTTAGGACGGAAGCTAAGAACCAGAGAAGTGAAATGATCGGCCCAAGGTCACACAGCAGGACAGGAACCTGAAACTAAATGCTATACGCCCTGCTGGTTCATTTTTATCAGGCTATTCTTCCTGTGTTTCTTTGGGGGGTTGGGGAAAGAGGTAGGTGAATAGAGAAGGAAGAGAGAATAGAGGTCAAGAGAGGTCAGAAAGCAGGGAAGAGAAAAAAATCTGAGACGAGCAGCCAAGAGGAGTGCTGGACGGACCAGTGAGTTGAGTTGGTGAAGAATGAATGGGTAAGAGCAAAACACCTAAATCGCAGCTATATGGTCACCAAATAGGGAGCCCACAGTGAAAGTAGAAAGGAGAATGAATGCTTAAAGGATGCCTATAGAGATAGCATTAAAATGGGGCTTGAATATTTGCTGCAGGGGTGGAGGTGGAGAGCTGGGTTTAACCAAGGTGGAGCCAGCAAAAGAGGGGTGAGGAAAGTGAGAATGTATGCAAGGGAGTGATTGAAATAATTGACCATGGAATTTTGTCTGAATAAGAAAGGAAATGAGAGCATAAAACGGGTGTATAACAGTGAAAAAGTAGATCAACGAATTATTCATTCCAGTGAGGTCAAGAGACTGTTAGAGTGGGGTGGTCATAGGGGATGTTTGAAATAAATCTTATGGAAGAGTTGTGATCATTGGAAGGAATCTCTCGTGGTTCTAGATGAATTTATTTTAAGCACATACAAGGTCCTTCAATTTGAAATGATATAGGAATAAGTAAGTGCTTTTTAAAATTAGGTTTGGGCTATTTATATATAAGAATTTATAATAGAGGGAAACACTAATAATGGTAATTGGAAAAACTAAATATGCACTTGTATATTAAGATGTTTAAAAAGAAAGATGCACAAAAGATTAACAACCAGTTATTTCAGTCATGGGAGTATAGTTTTTTCTACTTCTTTAAAAATCATATCCACTAGCCGAAACCGGTTTGGCTCATTGGATAGAGCATCGGCTTGGGGACTGACGGGTCCCGGGTTCGATTCCAGTCAAGGGCATGTACCTTGGTGGGGTGTGCAAGAGGCAGCTGATCAATGACTCTCATCGATGTTTCTAACTCTCCATCTCTCTCCGTTCCTCTCTGTACAAAATCAATAAAATATATTAAAAGAATCACTTAGACCATATTTTTATTTTTTTAAATAAATTTTTATTGTTCATATTATTACAAATGTTCCTTTCCCCACCACCACCACCACCATTGCTCTCCTCCACCAGGTTCCCACCCCACCCTCTGCCCTTTCCCCACTCCCCATTGTCCTCATCCATAGGTGCACAGTTTATGTTCAGTCTCTTCCCACATCCCCTCTCCCCTTTTCCCCAAGAATCATCAGTTCACTCCCCTTCCATACCTCTGATTCTATTATATTCAACAGTTAATATTGTTCATCAGATTTTTTTTTTTAAATTTCTTTGGTTTTTAGATTCACTTGTTGATAGTTACATATTTATTGGTCATAATTTTTATCTTTATTTGCTTTCTCTTCCAAAAGAACCCCCTTCACAATTCATATAATTCTGGTTTGGTGGTGATGAACTCCTTTAGCTTTTTTTTTTATTGGTGAAGCTCTTTATCTGACCTTCGATTCTGAGTGATAGCTTTGCTGGATAGATTATCTTTGGCTGTAGGTTCTTACTATTCATCACCTTGAACATTTCTTGCCATTCCCGTCTGGCCTGCATGGTTTCTATTGAGAAATCAGCTGACAATCCTATCGGTGCTCCTTTATAGGTAACTACCTTCTTTGCTCTTGCTGCTTTTAATATTCTCTCTTTGAATTTTGCTCTTGGAATTTTAATTATGATTTGTCTTGGTGTGGTCCTCTTTGGATTCCTTTTGTTTGGAGTTCTGTGCGCTTCCTGGACTTGTAAGTCTAATTCTTTCACCAGGTGGGGAAAGTTTTCTGTCACTATTTCTTTCAGTATGTTTTCGATATCTTGCTCTCTCTCATCTTCTGGGACCCCCATAATTCTGATGTTGGAAGGGAGAAGGATAGAGAGATAGAAACATTGATGACCGAGAAAGTCATAGATTGGCTGCCTTCTGTATGGCCCCCACTGGGTATCAAACCTGCAACCCAAGCATGTTCTCTGACTAAGAATTGAACTGGCGACCTCTTGGTTCCTGAGTTGATGCTCAACTGCTGAGCCACACCAAACAGGCCATTGGTTGATTCTTGTATCTGCCCTGACCAGGGATCAAACCTGCAACCTTGGCATATTGGGATGACATTCTAACCAAGTGAGCTAACTGGCCAGGACCTGTTTGGCATTTTCAAATGCAAAGCAAAACATAGACTCGTTCACTTACTTATTTCATTCACCAAATGTACTATGTGCACCATGAGTGACAGGCACAGTTCTAGGTGCTGGGGATTTCAGCAAGACAGATAAGATCCTTTGTCTTGTGAAACTTACATTTTAATGAAGGAGATAGATGATAAACAAATTTAAAGCATATTTCTATAAGTGTTGCCGATTCAAGATCCATGTACCCAATGTGGTAAAAGGCCAATATTCAAACTGTCAGTTGGGAATAAGGAAGGGTTTATTGATCAAGAAGGCACCATATACTCAGGAAGATTGGGGGAGGGCGTGGGGGGAGGGAGGCCTTAGAACTTTCTTAAATCCACCTTAAAAGAGCTCAGAATTCAGACTTCTTTTATGTCCAGGGAAGAGAAAATGGGCAGGGCTAGAGGTGTGTGATGACTAACTGCAGAATTCTAGGCACCAACAGAAGAGAGTGATAGGGGAATCTCTAAATCTCTTTGTGCTCCCTACATTTGAGTCCAGTCTTGAAGCTCCTGCAAATCTTGCCCAAAATATCAAGCCTTAAACAGAATTCCTCCAAATTTATCATACCTCCCCACAATCCCCTCCCATTGTAATCACAATGAACAGAGCATTGTATACCTTCTTTGTGTGTGTGTGTGTGTGTGTATGTTTATATATATATACACAGACACACACACACACACACACATATATATATATATACACACACATATATATGTGTGTGTGTGTGTATTACTAATATATGTATATATATTATATCCTATATAATAAAAGGCTAATATGAAAATTGTCCCCTCAACCAGGAGTTTGACCAGTAGGCAGGCCGGCCAACCGCCCATGTTCCCTCTCCTTGGCCAGGCTGGCCAGACACCACCCATGCATGAATTCATGCACCTGGCTTCTAATATATATATGTGTGTGTGTGTGTGTGTGTGTGTGTGTGTGTATACACATACATGCTGAGTGGCTAGATTATTATGTGTTCAGAGATCATAATAATCTGGTGTGTGTATGTGGGTATGTGTAAAAATATATACATTTTGTTAAACAAACATGGGATTCATACATATAATACAGGAGCTATTCCCTGAAGGCCACTGGAGAAATGCAGGCTAGAGTTAAGATTGAGTTCAAGAGCCAAGCATTTCACTCTCACAGAAGGGGAACTATTGGTAAGTGCTACAAGGAAAAATTACTGCAGGGACAGGGGAGAGAATGTTAGGGATTGCTCTTTTTTTTTTTTTTCCAGCATTTATTTTATTTGGAGTAATTGTAAACTGTTACAAAGTGAGGTCTGAAAACATTTCAAATGTAGTGTGTGAGCCATCTTGCACTAAAACGTCAGTTTCCATAACTGGAAAATACATTACTCTGGGAGTTATAGTACCATTGGCTTTATTTTTTTTTCTTTGATAAATCTTTATTGTTCAAATTATTACAATTGTTTCTTCTCCCCCCCACACCCCAAGCTCTTTCTATAAGGTGATATTTGAACAGAGACCAAGGTGACACAAGGAACAAATAGTACAACTATTCGGGGGAAGAAGGTGTTAAAAGGTCCAGGAGGTGCAAAGGCCCTCATGGAGCACTTGCCTGAGCTTGCTTGAGGGGATATGTGGAGGCCAGCGTGGCTGTCGTGGAGTAGGCGGGAGGAGCAGGATAGGAGACAGGGAATTTGCAGATGGGTCAGATCATGTAGGCATGCTTGCTTCCACGGTGTGACAAAACCATCTGGAAGGACACAGGGCCTCTGCAGACGGAAGTCTGCAATTGGAAGAAGACTGACTTTCTTCTGTGTATTCCTTTGAGTGCTTTGCATTTTTAAAATATGTGTCTGAGCTACATTTTTACCTAATTGCTTAAAATAAAAATTATAATTTTTAAAGAACTAATACAAAATAAAAGGCAAAGGCTCGGGTACAAGGAAGGAAGGGCCACAGTGGTGTGTCCACCCTGCTGACAGGGCTGCCTTGGCGGGGGTAGGGGTGGGAAAAGGGCCCGCGCAAATAATTTGCAGCAACTGGCCTGTTCCAGGAGAGAAACCGGGATCTAGAGAGTTTCTGAATAGGATTGGGGTGTGATGGGCAGAGGCTGTGACTAATGAAATAAACCTCAATCCTAAATGGGACCTACAGGCTTCAGGGAGTGAGCCCGCCCTGCCTCTTAGAGAACAGAGATGACTAACAGCTTCCTAAAATATTAAAGGAACTTTCCATGTGGTCTGTTAAATTCATCTACACCTTTCTTCTCCAGATGCATTTTTAGAAAGGGTGTGTGTGTGAGTGAGGGTGTGTGTGTGTGTGTGTGTGTGTGTGTGTGTGTGTGTGCAAGCTTTGCCAAGCTCATCCCAGCTTTGCAGGGACAGGAAGAGAGGCCTCCCACGCCTCCCCCTTTGCAGGATAGAAGGTGGGAGGGTCTGCTCAGCGTTCGTGCCCCTCCTCTCCCTGGAGCTTCTCCCTCTTTGCTCCCTTAGTGAGGCTTTCCCTGGGCAGCCAGCGTCCTGCCCACAAATTTGTTTTCTAAATGACCACTCCCAGGAGGAGAGCAGAGGCGTCTGGGTGCTTCTTCCTGACTCCCTCCTGGTCCTCCCCCTCTACATCCTGCAAAGTGAGGGCCGAGGCAGAGATCGTGCTTTTGGGGCTCTGTTCTCAGGCTTGCAAACCCCCAGAAGCTTGGGACACGTGTGACTGGGACCCTCCCAGCCCCACCTCTCTCCCCACTTCTGGTTAGGAAACAAAAATAGCAAGTTTTCCCATGTAGAGGCTTTTGATGGCCTTTAAAAACAGTAAGCTGCTGTATGTGTGTTTTACTTCAATTAAATAAAAAAGGGAGAGAAAAAAAAACACCACAAAAACCTTACTAGGTAAAGCCCTAGCATGGAGGGCAATGGCGTGCAATCAGTCATTCGACAAGCCTGGAGGGAAGACCTAGGTGCCAGTCACGGGACTCAGCCCTTCCCGGCACTTACAGAGCTTACGTCTAGCAAGGGAGACAGACACTACACAGTAAACCTTACAAATAAGCACATTGTGTAGATAGGTAAGGGTGGTGAGTGCTGTGGGGGAAACGGAGACAGCTGGGGCAGTGCCGTGGAGTTCTCCTGGGTTAGAACTTAACAGACCCAGCAAGTGTGGCCTCGCTGGGCCTGGCAAACAGAAGGTGCCCCGTGAAGTTGATTTCCTTCCACTTTTCTGTGCCTGAAAATTCTCATACCTGTGAGTTTGAACTTCACCATTTATATACAGCAAGCAAATAACAGAATAGAGGTGAACAATATAAGAAAACCATACCATGGTTAGGATCTTATTTTGATGGTATTGCAGGAGGCAGCACTTACCAAATTAAAGACTATATATTATGGCCTTGGCTGGTTTGGCTCAGTGGATAGAGCGTTGGCCAGTGGACCGAAGGGACCCAAGTTTGATTCCAGTCAAGGGCATATGCCTTGGTTGCAGGCTGCTCCCCAGCCCAGGCCTTGGTCAGGGCACCTGCAGGAGGCAACCAATCAATGTGTTTCTCTCACATCGATATTCCTCTCTGTCTTTCCCTCTCTCTTCCACTCTTTCCGAAAAAATCAATGGAAAAATATCCTCAAAAAATAAAAGAAAAATATCCTCAGGTGAGGATTAAAAAACAAACAAACAAACAAAAAAACTACTTGATTTAATAAATGAATTCAGCAAAGTTTAAGAAAAAATATATACATTATACTAGATGCCCAGAGCACGAAATTTGTGCGGGGGGGGGTGGGGTGGAGAGTGTCCCTCAGCCCAGCCTGTACCCTCTCCAATCTGGGACTCTTTGGGGGATGTCTGACTGCCAGTTAAGGCCCAATCCTGGAGAATGGGCCTAAGCCAGCAGTCGGACACCCTCTCACAGTTCTAAACTGCTGGTTCCTAATCACTCATCTGCTTGCCTGTCTGGTTGCCCCTAATTGCCCCCCCCCCTCTGCTGGCAAGGTCACCCCCAACTGCCTCCCAACCAGCCTAGTTGCCTTTCACTGCCCTCCCTGCCAGCCTAATTATCCCCAACTTCCCCCTCCCACCAGCCTGGTCACCCCCAACTGGATCCCCCCTGCTGGCCCATTTGCCCCTAACTGCCCTCCCTGCCAGTCTGGTCACCCCTTACTGCCCCTCCTGCTGCCCTGGTCACTCCCAACTGACCCCCCACCAGCCTGGTTGGCCCCAACTGATCCCCCTGCTGGCCTGGTCACCCCCAATTCCCTCTTCAAACCCCCGCACCAGCCTGGTCACCCCTCACAGCCCCTCCACCCCCCCGCCCCCGCTCCACTGGCCTGGTTGCCCCACACAACCTGCTGGTCGTTCCTCACTAACCCCCCTGCCAGCCTGGTCATAGGCAGCCATTTTGTGAAGGTGTGAGGGTTAATTTGCATATTATCTCTTTATTATATAGGATTCTTTTCATTATGTAAGGTTGGGCAAAAGTAGGTTTACAGTTATGAGTCTACAAAATGCAGTTTAATTGTGTGTTATTATCTATTCTTGTGTTATATGCTTTTCCATACAAACAACTGTAAACCTACTTTTGCCTGCCCTGTATATGAATGTAAAGCATGTTCCCAGCACTGGGAGGCAATACAAGGCTGTAAGTCCCATATGCCTAACAATGGACTCAGGCTGAAAAGAATTGATGTGAACTCAGGGACTCCTTTTAAATATAGTTTTAAAATTTCAGAGAGGAAGGGAGAGGGGAGAGAAATAGAAACATCAATAATGAAAGAGAATCATTGATTGGCTGTTTCCTGCACACCTTCTACTGGGGACCAAACCCACAACCTGGGCATGTGCCCTTGACTGGAATTGAACCTGGGATCCTTCCGTTTGCAAGCCGATGCTCTGTCCACTGAGCCAAACCAGCTAGGGCAGGAACTCCTTTTAAAGTGTACCTTGGTCTGAGTGGGGTTACATGCATATGAAAGAACTCATGGAGCTGTAGCTCCAGACTTGTACATTTTTATAGGAGGTAAGTTCTACCTCAGAATAAAAAGAAAGATGTGGCTGCTGTTGACCTTGAACTTAGGTTCTGCTCCCATGCTGGCAGTTCTCCAGAACTCAGCCTTGTACTGGAGGGAGGCTCTTCAGCCTGGGCACAGGCAGGGCAGGTCCTCGGGGCAGGATTGCAGGGGAATCTGCCCAGAGACACCTGCATTGTGAGGAGCCTGGACCGAGGCCTGCGATCACACTGCCTTTACGGACGTCCCTCCTTAAGGGCCGTGGGCTGGAGGCGGGCGGGGGAGGGGTACAGCATACCCACACAGGAAACAACAGAGTAAGTCCTGACAAGGCCGCTGGGTCTCAGGGGCAAAGCTCTTATCGGGCTGAGAAGGCACATCTTCCCTGCTTCCCAGCATCTACAGCAGGCAGCTGCTGCTGCGTAGCAAGGTCATGGGATAGTCTCAGGCTGGGTGGGAAGTGGCTGTTTGCACCCAAGCTGGCTGAGTAAACATGGAGCCACCCATCCGTCTCCATCTCACCCTGTCTCCCTCTGTCTCGCAGAGATTCTTTATCTCTCCCAGAGCTTCTGTGGCTCCTTCTGCCACACAGAAAGGTTCTACACCTTCTTTAGCCAATACCTACCACCCGTCCGAGAGTGCATGGAAACCCGAAGGATCCACAGGTCTCCCTGGGTGCAATGTTAGACACATCACATCAGGAGCCCTCGGAGATTTCAGTTGTTACTAGAAAAGCGTTCCCTTGGAAAGATGAGCTCTAGGCATGGCCGGAAGGCTGCAGCATCAGGAGCCTAAATAAAACGGCAGGCGCAGGGGTGTGGCCACCCTCCCGGGCACTCACTGGCATTTCATGTTCTTCTCTGCAGGAGGCCGTGTCCCATCGCCCAGAAGAAGGCCAGCTGGCCCGAATCCAAAATGTTGTCCAGCAGCTTCCCCCGTCCCACTATAGGTAAGAATCCTTGATGACAGAAAGTCACGGCCCGTCAGTGTGGTGTAATGCCACAGACGCATAAAAGGGAACAGATTCGGTGGACAGTGGCTTTCCTGGGGCTTTTCGGGTGGGGAGACAGGTCACTTGTCTCAGAGTGAGTTGGTGTCTGACTGGGAACACGGATGGGAAGGGGCAGCCTATGTCCCAGGTACTTACAGAGTCCCACCCGGATTCTGATCACACGCTATCCTAGGTTCTTACCCAGATCCACAGAGGAACCATGTGCCGGTATATGGAAACCGGGATGGTTTTAAAACAGGCTCTGACATTTGGCTGACCGATCTCTCTCTCTGAGCACCATCTCTGACATCACCCTATCCTTTCATTTCATTCTCATAAGTTAGCCCCTCATCTTACCGTCTCCCCCAGTGTTCCCCAAGCCTGCCCATCTGTTACACAAGACCAGATTTTGATGTGTTATAAGAAAGAACTTTCTGGCAATCATAGATGTTTTTCTTCCAAGACTGCCCCCCTTCCCCGCCCTGGGCCAACATGCCGAGGGCCGAGAAAATTACTTCCATCAATCTTGATACTTTCCTGCTATTCCTTTACAAGTCATGAGATAGAAATATTTACTTAGTCTCCCAAATCCAAACTCGGAATTACCTCCAGGCTTCACACAAGCCCTAGAGCTTCTTACTTTGTGGAAATGAATAAAGTGAACCATTACAGGACCTTGGAATACCTGATTCGACACCTGGCCCACATCGCCTCCTTCAGCAGCAAGACCAACATGCACGCCAGGAACCTGGCCCTGGTGTGGGCGCCAAACCTCCTCAGGTAAGCGCCGCACCCTCACCTTCTTCCCACCCCAGTGGGCTCAATGCAGCCCACGGATCAAAATAAAGACTGCATTCTTCGAAAGTGAAGCCCCTTGAAGACTAACCTGTAGCTGAGTGGTATTTTGTAGCACAGGTGGATGGAAGGTGATTTAAAAGCCTAGGTTCTTTGCCTGCTAACCTGGAAAGTCTGGGTTCCAGAGGCATTTTTTTGGCTACCACCAGAATGTGACTAAAGTTATGGGTCTGTATGTTATAATTTCTTTCTTTTTTTTAATATATTTTATTGATTTTGTACAGAGAGGAAAGGAAAGAGATAGAGAGTTAGAAACATCGATGAGAGAGTCATCGATCAGCTGCCTCTTGCACACCCCCTACTGGGGATATGCCCGCAACCAAGGTACATGCCCTTGACTGGAATCGAAGCTGAGACCTTTCAGTCCCCAAGCCGACGCTCCATCCATTGAGCCAAACCAGTTTCGGCTGTATGTTATAATTTCTTAAAAGACCTGTCTTGTCTCTGTGGCTCATTGGCTGTTGTTGGTTGTGGTGGGGGTCACAGCTGGCTATAACACAAATCAACTGCTTGATATGACTTCATTAATGATGAGCTGCCCCACAGAACAATTAGGTGGTGGGTGGAAGGAGATCTGATATTTTTTTAAAAAGCAACTCCTGGATATTCGCTAAAATAGTGTTATAGTCTTGCAATGTCTATAATTCCTGGTAATTGTTTTCAATTTGTTCAGTGTGTTGGGCTTCACAGCCTTTGGACAGTCCCTTTAATTGGTCTTAGCAGTTAAAATATCATACAGATTAACAAACCGTATACGTTGAAAGCGGGGCTTGTACAAAAAGCTCACTGCCCCCCCCCCTTACTGCACTAGGGCTGACTCACGGAGCTGAATGTGTTTCTTTCCTTGATATAGGTCCAAAGAAATCGAAGCCACTGGTTGCAATGGAGATGCAGCCTTCCTTGCTGTCCGGGTCCAGCAGGTGGTGATTGAGTTCATATTGAATCATGTGGATCAAATCTTTAACAATGGTGCACCTGGGCCTCTGGAGAACGAAGGTAACGGCTCCTGCTGGCATACACCCCACTGCCCCATCCTCCTTCCGTGCCTTAGTCACAGGGCTCAAGAATAAGTTAGGGTGGCCTCTGTCTCAGGTCTGAGTGTTGGCACTGTGTATGTGCTGATTACTGTGTCCGTGTCAGTGTCTTGGGATGGTGCATGTATATATCTGTATATGTGCAGCAAAGATGTGCTGTGTTTGCAGGTGGCTGTAGTGGGTTTCTGATCAGCTGCATATTTAGACTACTCTGTGAGGGTGGCATGTAAACTGTAATAAACTTCTATTGGTTTTAATAAGATCTTAAACTGTTTATTATCTAGAGGCACTGGCAGCTTTCCCCTCTTCAACTATTAGATTTCATCTTTACTTTCAGTATGATATATTTCAGAAGATCGTATGCCTTCATCTTGAAATCTTACGTGAATGAGTTAAGAGGCAGCATGTTCAGATTCACATGCATATTCAGAATGCATTTACTTTTCATGCATTTTTTTAGTGCTTACATTGTTCTAACCTCTACCAGGTACTATGCATACAAAAATTAGTGTGTGTTTATAGGCACATGTATGCAGAGACTAGTAAAGGGATGGAAAAAGGTATTTCACACAAATGGAAATGAATAAAAAGCTGGGTTAGCAAAACTTATATATGAAAAAATAGACTTTAAAACAAAAGCTATAGTAAGAGACAAAAGACACTACATAATGAAAAAAGGACCAATCCAACAATAGTATATAACGCTTGTAAATACTTATACACGCAATATAGGAGGACCTAAACACATAAAGCAAAAAACAATCATAGTAACGGATTTTAACAGCCCATTGACATCAATGGATAGATCTTCCAGACAAAAAAATCAACAAGGAAACAGCTGCCTTAAATGATATTCTAGACCAGATTGGTTGCCAATTCAATTCCACTCCATCAAGGTGCAGAAGGCAAACAATCGGTGTGTCTTTTGCACATCAATGTTTCTTCCTCCCTCCCTCCCTCTCTTACTGCGTCCTTTCCATTCTCTCTAAAAATCAATGAAAAAATATCCTCAGGAGAGGATTAACAACAATTCTCTCTCTCTCTCTCTCTCTCTCTCTCTCTCTCTCTCTCTCTCTCTCTCTCTCTTATTGCCTCCCTTCCACTTTCTCTAAAAATCAATTAAAAAATATCCTCAGAAAAAGATTAACAACAACAATTTAAAAAATGGTGGTTTTCCAACAGTAGTGTCCATCCATACCAACCAGTAGCAGTTTTCTGGATCTCACCCCCAGTTTCTGATTCAGCGTGTCTGGAGTACTTTCAGAATTTGCATTTCTAAGAAGTTTCTAGGTGAAGCTGCTGCTAGGGGTCAGGGTCCACGCTTGGAGAGCCAATCGTGTCTGAGAACCACATTACAAATCATTTGTTAGCTGATTGAAGCGTTCTTTTCCAGTTTAGCTAGTATCCTTGAAAAACACACACAGTATAATCATGAAAATAATCTATTGCAATTACCATCAAATTTTGACTCCTGATATAATTGTTCTACCCCATCCTGTCTTCTATGTGGTTTATGACCTCTCTTTTAAAATTTATTTTTCTTGAGATAAAATCCATATACCATAAAATTCACCATTTTATCATTTTAGAGTATAGAATTCAGTGGGTTTTTTTTTACTGCTATATATATTTAGATAATTGTGTAACCATCACCATTGTCTGATTCCTGAACATTTTCATCACTTGAAAAAAATCTCATACTCATTACATAGTCATTCAATACGTTCTCCTCCTCCCAGATCCTAATCTACTTTCTATTTCTATGGGTTTACCTCTTCTGAACATTTCATATAAATGGATTATATAAAACATTGTCTTTTGTGGCTGATGTCTTTCATTTATATGTTCTCAAGCTCATATCAATATTTCATTTCTTTTTATGGGGGAGTAATATTCTATTGTATGAATATACCCAATTTTGTTTAGCCATTCATCAGTTCATGGACATTTGGGTTGTTTCTACTTTTTTTTTTTTTTTTTTTTTTTTTTTTAAATAAGTTTTTATTCATATTATTACAAATGTTCCTTCCCCCCCCCCCACCATTGCTCTCCTCCACCAGGTTCCCACCCCACCCTCTGCCCTTTCCCCACTCCCCATTGTCCTCATCCATAGGTGCACAGTTTATGTTCAGTCTCTTCCCACATCCCCCTCTCCCCTTTTCCCCAAGAATCGTCAGTTCACTCCCCTTCCATACCTCTGATTCTATTATATTCAACAGTTACTATTGTTCATCAGATTTTTTTTTTAATTTCCTTGGTTTTTAGATTCACTTGTTGATAGTTACATATTTGTTGTTCATAATTTTTATCTTTGTTTACTTTTTCTTCTGAAAGAACTCCCTTCAGCAACTCATATAAGTCTGGTTTGGTGTTGATGAACTCCTTTAGCTTTTTTTTACTAGTGAAGCTCTTTATCTGACCTTCGATTCTGAGTGATAGCTTTGCTGGATAGATTATCTTTGGCTGTAGGTTCTTACTATTCATCACCTTGAATATTTCTTGCCATTCCCGTCTGGCCTGCATGGTTTCTGTTGAGAAGTCAGCTGACAATCGTATAGGTGATCCTTTATAGGTAACTACCTTCTTTGCTCTTGCTTCTTTTAATAGTCTCTCTTTGTCTTTTGCTCTTGGAATTTTAATTATGATTTGTCTTGGTGTGGTCCTCTTTGGATTCCTTTTGTTTGGAGTTCTGTGCGCTTCCTGGACTTGTAAGTCTAATTCTTTCCCCAGGTGGGGGAAGTTTTCTGTCACTATTTCTTTCAGTATGTTTTCGATATCTTGCTCTCTCTCATCTTCTGGGACCCCCATAATTCTGATGTTGGTTCGCTTGAAGTTGTCCCAGAGGTTTCTTACATTATCTTCATTTTTCTGGATTCTCTTGCCTTCTAGCTTCTGTGGAGGAGTGTCTTCTGGCTCTTTATGCTCCAAATCTTTGACTTGATTCTTGCGATCTTTCCTTCTGTTTTTAGGACTCTGTAAAATATTTTTTATTTCAGACAATGTATTCTTTATTTCTTGTTGTTCCCTTATCATTTCTTGATGACTCCTTATTAATTCTAGTTGATTTCTTTTCATGTCCTCATAGGTCTTATCCATCTTTTCTAGGAAATTCTTGAAAAACCTTATAAGCGTAGATTTGAACTCTATATCCAGTCGCTTTTTGTCCTCCATTTCTTTCGTTTGTGATCTATTTGGTTTAGGCATTTTCGCAGGCAGCTTTCCTGATGGGGCGGAGTTTCAGGGTGGAGCCTACAGCTTTGGCTTCCGTCAGCCCCGCCCTATGCGACTCCTGAGACTCAGGGTCCTTCAGTACTTGTTGTAAGCGCCTCTGAGAGAAAGGTGCCCTCGATTTTCGCCTGCTGCCAAACAGTCTATGCTCTCCCCCAATGAGCCCGGTATTAGGGTTCAGTTCAGTTGGAAGTGGAGTTGGAGGTGGCGTTCAGAGCAGACTGGAGCCCGTCTCCTTCCCGCCAGGCAATCATGCGGCACAGCCAGCCGTCCCTTCTCTGTGCTGCGCCGCCGCCGGGACCTCCTTTCGCCTCTTCCCCGGGTTCCGCCTCGCAGCCCAGCTCCCTCTGGCTGAGCCTGAGTCCCCGGGGTCTGGCCTGGGCCTGGGGTTCAGAGCAGTCGGGGGGGGGGGGGGGGGGCCCAGCACAGTCGGAGCTTTTATCTCCTTCCCGCCAGGGAACGCCGGCCAGGCACTCAGCCGCCCTCCTCTCCGGCTCCGTCCTCTCCGCGCGCAGCGTGTCTCCGTACCTTGGGCTTTTCCAGCTCCTCCGCGCTTCCTTCTGGTTATCTCCTTGCTTCTCGTTGTAAAATTTCCAGTCAGTCAACTTTCCTGTAGTTCTGGGTGATTTCCATTTTATATTTTAGTTGTATTTTATTTATATTTTTGTGTGAGGCTGCAGCTAGGTATTCACCTGGGCGCAGCCATCTTGGAGGACCTGTTTCTACTTTTTTGTTTGTTTTTATGAGCAATGCTGCTATGAGCATTCATATACAAAATTTTGTGTGAACATATGTTTTCAATTCTCTTGGTTAGATATGGAGGAGCAGCTTTCATTTCTTTTAACTTTAACTCCCCCATTAGATGGATTATTTATTGTAAACTATATAAATCCTTTGTGAAAGTCAATAAGAAGTAATATGCATTCATTCATTCTTCCTTTTGAGTCAACCAATAATTTATTGTGGACTTAATCTATGCCAAGAACTATTGCAAGCACTCCATGTACATCATCTCATTGACTTATCACAACAACCATCATAAAGTTGTTATCAACTTTATTTTATACGTGAAGGACCAGAGAAGCAGGAAAGCTTAGTAATTCTCCAAAGCTACCCTGGTAGTAACTGGTGGGACAGAACATTGAACTTACGATCTATCAGCCGTGCTGCCTCTGTGAGGAGAAAATAGGAAAATAGATGAATAAACCTCTGTAGTTTTTTTTTTATTAATGCCTAAGGGCAATGTTCTTCCCAATAGCAAAGCCATGACTGCTAGTGTTAAGGTTGTTCCTGATTCTAATTTGGAAACACCTGTTCTTTTTGTGACCATTGCCTTAATTATCTTTTGTCCTGCATACTGAAATCCAATTTAATATATATATATATATTTTTTTTAAAATATATTTTATTGATTTTTTACAGAGAGGAAGGGAGAGAGATAGAAAGCTAGAAACGTCGATGAGAGAGAAACGAACAGCTGCCTCTTGCACACCTCCTACTGGGGATGTGCCCACAACCAATGTACATGCCCTTGGCCGGAATCGAACTTGGGACCTTTCAGTCCGCAGACCGACGCTCTACCACTGAGCCAAACCGGCTTCGGCAAATTTAATATATTTTTTAATGTGTATTTTTATGGATTTCATAAAGGAAGGGAGATGGGGGGATAGAAACATCAATGATGAAAGAGAATAATTGATCAACTGCCTCTTGCACACCCCCATTGGGGATTGAGCCGACAACCCGGGCATGTGCCCAGACTGGGAATCAAACCGTGACCCCCTGCGCCATAGGTTGGTGCCCATCCACTGAACCACACCAGCCAGGTCCAATTTACTCTTGACTCTTTAACTCTTGATTGCCTTCAATACTTATTGTTCAATGAATTAAATGTTTTTATTATGAGTTTGCATTGAGTTTGGTAAGGTAACATACTGTTTACGTAAAATGGAGTAAGTCAAATCCTCTGGAATTTTAGATTTGGAAATAGGGTTCTATTTCAAACTGGGAAGATTATAGAAATCATAGAATCCAGTGCCTTTAATTGATAAACGAGAGCAGTGAGGCCAGAAAGATTGTGCTATAGCCAGGATTCATTAAAACATGAGTATGTATTGGGCAACTCTAGATACTGAGGACAGTGTCCTTACACAAACAGCAAAGTCACTGTCCTGCACAGAGCTCAGGTCTGGTTAGGGAGACAGGTAATACATAAGTTTATAAATAAATACATTATCACTTCAAAGACCATAAATATCATGAAGATCAGACAGCAGGGCAATGGGATGGTCAGTGACTCGGGGGTGTTATTTGGGTGCAGAGTGGTCATGGCCTCTTTGAACTGAAACCTGAATGACTAAAGGGAGCAGTCATGTGAGGATCTGGGGACACATGTTCCAAACACAGAGAGCAGGGAGTGTAAAAGCTCCGAGGTGGAAATGGACTCACTGTGTTGCAGAACGCCGGCCAGTGCGGCTAGAGTGCTCCACCCTATGGGACACCAGAGACCAAAGTTTGGGTGTTTGAAGAAACTGTTACAATTTCTTTTCACTTATGTTTATTGCATACTTTGTAATTTCTATGATTGTATAGGCTTTCTATTACATCTGATACTAATACAGTGGTACATATATATGATTTACAAATACATACATTATCTATAATGGGAGTATACATTCAAAAAAATGTACTGTGTATCTTTGTCGACCACTGGGTTGGTGGACAACAGATGGAGGTGCTTGTAGGTCATGCTAAGAGTTTGGTTTGTTCTCGGTGCCATGGGAAGGCCTGGAGGGTTTTGAGCCGGGCGTGCAGAATCTAAGGGTTCTAGCTGGTGTGTGAATGAGAGACAGAAAGGCAACAAGGCTGGAAGCAGGGGGGGTCAGTCAAGGAGCTATGGCAGAAATCAGGTGGCAGAACATGGTGGCCAGGACAAGCATGTTCGTGGGAATGGAGGAAAGTGGCTGGATTCAGGATATGTTTCAGAGGGTGAGTTATAGGACTTGATTATAGGCTGGAGGGGGGAGAAGGTGTTGCATCAAAGAAAGGAATGAGTGAAAAAACAACTACTACAGGTTTTGGTGCAAGGGCCTGATTCGGCAGGGGCCAGACACGTGGTGGGGATCTCCCTTTTCCGCATCCAGCACGGAAAGAGAGATGAATGAACCGGTTCTAAGTGGAGGTGGCCAGGGATTGAGAAATAATAGAAAGAAGACACAGAAATAGATTTGAAGCTAGAAGCTGGGAGCTGGGTGGGACGCCATCCGTCCTCTCTGATGGAGGGGCTGCAACGACGATGACCCCTCTCAGCGCATTTATTTATACCCCCAATACCAGGAAGTTATCACCAACTTATTTGCATTCTTAAGTAGGCCCTGGCATGTCTGGATTTACATATCTAGTCCCACCCCTGCCAACACCTGGGCTAACATGGAAGGCCAAGCTGATTACACTTTCCATCATCTTGGGGAAATGTGGATCCTAGACCCGGCTTTGCCAATCGTCTTGGTCTCAACTGGCAACAATTAAAAGAAATGCCATGTGCCTTCCCAGGCGGCCCTTTACATTTTGGTTTATGCAACTGGGAGCTTCACGGTGCCATTTACCAATTTGAAGACGATGGGAGGGGGTGTCGGTCTAGAGGTGAAGAGCCGAGAGCACAAGCTCTGTTCTGAAATGTGGAGTTGGAGATGCTTGTTAAGCATCCAGGCAGAACTGATGGATACGGCCCAGAAGTAGGGGAGAGGAGGTGCTAAACCCAGGTCTCCTGACCCTGCTGTGTATGTTCTTCCACGGTTCCAGTTGCTCCCAGAGTCGTTTAATCTTTTAAGTAAATAAATAATTAAGTAACAAATAATAATCTAGAATCTACAAACAAATATTAAGAGTAAGTTAAATGCAAATAGTTTAACCTGCTTTGGATTAAGTAGGAAAACTAAGTTAAATTCAACACCGTTGATGACAAGTCTTGCGGATCACAGACTTACTTAATTGACTGAATGATGCCCATGCTCCCTCCTCGGAACCTCCCAGGGTCACAGTGTCTCCGTTTTCTGCTGGCCCCTTTTCAGTGGTTTTATTTCCCTTCACCCAGAGAGGGTCATGCTCTACAAAGAGAAAAAGTACTACCAAGGTGCTTTCTAAACAAAAAGTGATGCTATACAAAACAAGATTTCTTAGTCTTGATTTGTCCAAGTTATCTTTTTTTCTTCTTCTTAATCCTCACCTGAAGGTATGTTAGAGAAAGAAGAGAGAAACATTGATGTGAGAGAGAAAAACATGGATCAGTTACCTCCCATACATACCCTGTCCAGGAATCAAACCCTCAACCTTTTGGTACACAGGACCATGCTTCAACCACCTGAGCCGCTCGGCCAGGGTGGCCAAGTTATCTTTGAATCTCTTCACACCTTCCAAAGTTATAGAAAACCGGCATGGTTGCCAAAAGAGTAAATAAAGGCAAACTTAGATATCTTCTTTTTCACTTAGATCAGGGTTGCTCAGCCTCGGCACTATTGACACTTAGTGCTGGCTGGTTCCTGTTGTGAGACACGGTCCTGTGCATCATAGGATGTTTAGCAGCAACCTCGGTCTCCACCCTCTAGTGCCAACAACAATCCCTAACATTCTTGTGGCAACCCAGAAAGTCTCCAGACATTGCCAAATGTCCCTGGCTGGAGGGATGGCTGCAAAATTGCCCCGAGTTGAGAACAACTGACTGGGAGAAAAGAGATAACCCTGGACTGCACTGATCTGTCATCACTTCCATTTCTAAAAATAAAAACTGCAGAAGGAAAGGATTAGCTTGAAGATGACTGGGTAGTGAGTAAACAGCCTCTTATCTTTTAGAGAATGGTGTCAGCTATTAAATGACTTCTCACTGCAAAGATACAAGCCTAGGTGATCTAGGGAAAACATAGGCTCCAACCTTAAATTGCCTTGGAGCGCCTGTTTGCCAGCTGTGGGGAGAGGGAGCAATCTCCTGTCTTCCCCCAGTTGAGAGAGGCTACTTCCCACCTGGCCAGAGTACTGAGCGGCTTCTGGGGTTAAAGACCCACTGCCGTTACTCTGGTCCACAATAAATCCATGTTTGTTATATGAATGAATGAATGAATGAATGAATGAGTGATGAGTCCTCTTTGAAGAATCCAGTTAGTGCAATTCACCTCCTGAAGGCCCTGTGTGCCCTCTGGCTAGTCTGGCCAGGTGGTTTGTGCTATTCTGTATGCAGACTCGGCCCAGGACCCCACCAGGCCCAAGAGGAGTCACCTGCCAGGAGGCCAGGAAGGAAGGAGCTGTGGGCGGGGAGCCTGGGTGGATCAGTGCACAGGCCTCCTCCCAGGAGTCTATGCGCTCTTCTCTCTGTCCAGAAAACTGGCCCATCGTGAAGAGCCTGACCTTGCCAGCCCTCTCCTTGCCCATGAAGCTGGTGAGCCTGGAGGAAGCCCAGGCCCGGAGCCTGGCTACTAACCATCCTGCCCGGAAGGAAAGGAGGGAGAACAGCCTGCCCGAGATCGTGCCTCCCATGGGCACCCTCTTCCACACCGTCCTGGAGTTACCAGACAACAAGTGAGTGGCATTCTTTGCAATTCTGGGAGGTAGTGGGAAGGAGGGCTTCAGAGGAGGAAGGAACATGGTCTGGGGGCCACGATGGCCGCATGGGCTGGGGGTACAATCGGGGTCAGGGTGTAAGAAAACGTTCCAGAAGAGAAAGGAGCTGTCTCCCCAACGCTCTCTCGGTGGTTGGTGCCTGCACTCACTGCCCCAGAGTCATCATGACCCTGGTCTTCCACCAGAGAGTCTCAGCACCAGAGTGGAGATGGGGCTCACAGGCACCCAGAGTCGTGGGTAAGCCCCTCACTCCTGAGTTCAGGCAAAGCAGGCTTGACATTTTCTAAAGGAGCTTTACTAACAAGCAAACTTGACTCCCTGCCCCCACCCTTCACCTCCACAGAACATTGCCAAGGGCATCGAGATGAGTGGAGGACATGTTGACTAATACTGCCACTCGAGACTGGGAGGTCTGGGCATGCGGCACTGGGAGGTGCCGTCTCTGGCTTCCACATCTCCTCTCAGACTTTCCAGAGCCCTTCCTCTCCTCCAAACGTCATTTAAAACCACAGGCTATTTTCTTTCCTCCTTTCTCCCTCTCACTGCCTCTGTTGCAACCCTGCTCTGCACTACAAAGTGCATGTTCTCTGTGCACTTCAACCACACCTGAGGGGCACCCTTCCCCAGTTTTACCCACCCTGTCAGATCCACCCCAAGGCCAAGTGCTTGAAAAAAAAAAAAACCTTGACCAGATCCAAAGAAACCACCCAGCACTGCAGGTGTCTCTGTGACTGATGGTGAAACATGCTGGGCTGAGAACCCTGCAGAGAAAAGGCTCCTGATGAAATCTGAGCGCTGGGCTGAGTCCCAGCTGGGCAAGGTGTCTGTAGTGACCCCTGGTGGTGACCCTAGTTGCACCAGGCTCCTGGGAGTCCAGCTCTGTCATTTCCCCGCTTCCTACTGAAGCGGCCTGGTGCCAGGCGTCAGGGAAATGAGAGGCACACTAACTGCCCTGGGCATTGCTCTGCAATGGGCACTAACCACACCCAGCGGCCTGCCCCTCTCCCAGGCCAGACTCTTTTCCACACTGCTTTCTCATACACCCCCTTTGTAGTCCATACAAGTCTTCACTAGCTCTTTTCTCACCTGTGGATGTGACAGCAATGTGGCCCACAGTGCAGGGAGCAAACCAGGCCTGAGCTCTCTGGTCTTTAGTGTTTATTCTCGTTCAAAATAGGGACCTCTGAAAACCCAGGGCAAAAGTGCTTGCCAGAATTCCCCCCCAGAATTCCCAGAACTGCGTGGTTGATTGTGACCTCTGAATCTCCCGTCTATCCTTGCCTCTGTGTGCCCCACCACTGCCTTTAATGGCACGCCTCTGCCCATTTCTCTGGGGAATGCGGTCCTTTGTGCTGACTCATGAAAGCCTCGCTTGGTCATCTAGGGCATCCCCGGACAGGGGGAGAGTCAGCAGAGAGTCCTCAACTTGGATTTTAGAGGGGAATTTCCTGGAATGTCCAGGCCATTCATAACTAGAATGTGTTTGGGTTATTCCTTCTCAAGCTAAAAGCCTCCTTGAAATGACTCGTTAGGAAACTAACCCCATATGGCTTGGCTCTTTTAGAAGAAAGCTCTCCAGTAAATCAAAGAAGTGGAAATCAATATTTAATCTGGGACGCTCTGGATCAGACTCCAAGTCCAAGCTGAGTAGAAATGGGAGCGTGTTTGTGAGAGGACAGAGGCTCTCAGGTAAGAATCAGCAGTTGTGTTGATGAGATATATCCCCCCTTGTTCTGCTCTGTAAGTCTTTGGTTTGATCACATTAAACTCACTAGCTCTGAAAGAGAAACTTATACATTAACTAGAGAATCTTTCTGGGGTTTTATTTTTTTAGATAAATTTAGATTTATTAAAAAATTTGCAAAAACAGTACACAGAGGACCCATATGCTCTTCACGCAGCTTTCTCCAATATTTTTTGAAAATATATTTTTATTGATTTCAGAGAGGAAGGGAGAAGGAGAGAGAAATAGAAATATCAATGATGAGAGAGAATCATTGATTCGCTGCCTCCTGCATTCCCCAGTGGATCAAGCCCAAACCTGGGTATGTGCCCTGACCAGGAACCGAACCGTGACCTCCTGGTACTTAGGTCAGATGCTCAACCACTGAGCCACGCTGATCGGGCAGCTTTTCCAAATTTTAACATGCTACATCACCATAATATAATTATCAAAGTCAGATGATTAATATCAATATAATACTATGAAGTAAAATATAAACTTTGTTTATATTTGGCCAGTTGTTCCACTCATCTCCTTTTTCTAGTACAGGACCTACCCCATCCAGGAATCCACATTCCATTGAGTTGTCCTGCACCTTAACCTCCTCCAATCCAGAGCAGTTTGTCGTTCTTTCTGCCCTTGACTGGCCCTTTATTTTATAGACGTTTGGGTTTGCCTTGTAGTAGTTCTGGACTTTACCTGTGACTATCACTGTCCAGAAAGAGAAAGAACATTATTTCAGGTTGCTTATTCTATACAGAGATCCTGTTTTTCCAGGAACATCCATCATGCTCCCCTATTTCACTCACAGTCACTGAGTCACATGGATCAATCCCGATGGCCCAGGGAGTGCTCTATGCTGATTGGCTTGGACCTGGGTTCCTGAACCACTGACTGGCATGAGGAATGGGCTTACAGTCAGATGCATCTAAGACGGACAGGGCTCTGTGAGAAGGGGGAAGGGAAACGGATTCTGGGTAGGCATCTAAAATATGCAGGTTATGGGAAAACATGTCTTTCATAAACTAGCCTGGAAAGATAGTCCAGGTAAAGAGGACAGGTTGCCACGGGTATGGTAGATCAGATACAAAGCAAAAATCAGGATTCTCAAAGAAGAATTTAAGGGGAGGAGTAATCTGGCAAGAAATTCTTTATTATGAGAGACTTGCTTACGCACATTAAAGAGAGAATTTCGGTTACAGAATGGGTGATACAATAAAAGAGGTTCACCAGATAATGAAAAGTTAAAAACAACAGCACAAAACAACAAGCAAAAAATTAAATGCTTTGCCTTGATGTTGACTTGGGACGATGTCCACCCCCATGTGGTTTCCAAAAGGAAGAGGTCCAAGAGGATCCATGGTGGAAAACTCACAGACGCACAGCATGTCCCTGGCCAGGGCTTCTCAGCACGGCTGCCCCTCCGAACCGCCCACAGGGTGGTTCTCGCCCACAGCAACTTTGCCTCAGGAGGTCTGTGGCGACATCAGAGTCCTGGTCATTCCTAACAAGCTCCCCAAGTGATAAACAGCCAGGGCTGAAAACTGCTGGATTAATACCTCATAAACAAACTAATCAGATATAGTGCATCAAACTGGCTGCATTTTGATAGGATGCAGGGATGAAACGAAAGAACCATCAGTGTTAACACAAGTAGCTCTCTGTTACCTTGACTGTTGCCTATGTGGCCACTTTTCATCAGAGAAGTGTTGCTGGAACCCTAAAAACTGAAGACTGTGGTGGGAATGGGGGAATTTATGACCAGAACCCATCAGCGTGATCTCCATAAATGGCATGTGGACTTGCTATTTGTTGAAATATGAACATGAAAAGAAGTCAATCAGTGGAGTAATGTATTTAAGTACATTTTTAATCTTTTCCATAACTAAAGAAAATTTTAAAATTGATTCATCATGAATAGCATTGGAAATTTTTTTGAGGGGGGACATCAGGTAAAGGGATGTTTGCCCATATTTAGAGAATGGAGAAAAATAAGAATAAGATAAATTGGGGTATGGACAGAATGAAGATGCATGGAGCGGTACACTAGGATTTGTATATCATCAAACCAGGACTCCAGGGAGCCCTCCAAAATGAACTCTTTTGAGTGGGAAGAAATCCCAAAGTCCTGAGGATAATCTAAGAGAGAAATCAAGGACCTAAAAGCTGCCAGGTCCATGACATAAAAACATAATCTAAATATAGCCATGAGTCCTGGCCGGTTTGGCTCAGTGGATAGACCGTCGGCCTGCGGACTGAAAGGTCCCAGGTTTCGATTTCGGTCAAGGGCACATGCCTGGGTTGTGGGCTTGATCCCACTGTGGGGCATACAGAAGGCAGCTGATCAGTGATTCTCTCTCATCATTAATGTTTCTGTCTCTCTCTCCCTCTCCCTTCCTCTCTGAAATCAATAAAAAATATATAGAAATATAGCCATGGGCTAAGGAGCCCTGAGTGCTTAGTTTCCATCCAGAAAAGGGGCCAGGGAATCCTTGGTGATTGTTCCCAAATGCAGAGGCTGTGGCCACCAAGAGTTTCCAACAGAAAGAGGCCCAGAGTGAAAGGTGGACACTACTGGCCCTGCGACAGCAGTGTGCTCAGCCTACAGGACACTTGGGGTCATAGGGTCACTGCCCCTCAGGCTGACCTGGGAAACAGCACAAGTCCAGAAGTGCAGCTCCTACAACAAAGGGAAAGGTTGTTTCAGGATACACAAGCAAGGCTCACTGGCCAGGCAGGGTGAGGACAATAATCAGTGTGTAACTTGTGAAAATAGCAGATCTTCGAAGGATAAGGATTCTGGCTTAGCGAGAGACGTGAGGAGGTTGAAGGCCATCTTGCCATCAGCCAGGGTTTGAGAAAAGAGGGCTGTGTCCTCCCCCAGCACATGGGCCTCGGGCAGAGAGAGGCCAGGAGCCGGGGAGGCCAAGGGCTAATGTGGAACCTCCAGAAGGATATGGGTTGGGAACAAGGGGAGAAAAGAAGGAATCTTTGAAAGAGGGGCAAAGTCCAGTGTGGGTTAAGGCCAACTCTGAGTGCTTCTGGAACCATCCCCCCGTTTGCCTTTGATTCTGAACCCTGGTCTATTCTGAAGAACAACAACAATAACAGTAGCTACTTCGAATTGAGCATCTCCCTATTCTAGGCTAGTACGACCTACTTATTTTATATGTATTATTCATTGACTCCTCACAGCAGCTCTGTTTTTCCTCATTTTACCTGTGAGAAAACTGAAGTTTAGGAAAGGTAAGCTGCTTATCTAAAATCACAAGACCCCAAAATGGCAGAGTTGAGATTCATAGGCAGATCCTTCCAAATTCAAGTTTCTTTCTTTCTTTCTTTTTTTTTTTTTTAATATATTTTATTGATTTTGTACAGAGAGGAAGGGAGAGAGATAGAGAGTTAGAAACATCGATGAGAGAGAGAGTCATCGGTCAGCTGCCTCTTGCACACCCCCTACTGGGGATATGCCCGCAACCAAGGTACATGCCCTTGACTGGAATCGAACCTGGGACCTTTCAGTCCCCAAGCCGATGCTCTATCCATTGAGCCAAACCGGTTTCGGCCAAATTCAAGTTTCTTTACACTAGTTCTGGGGCTCCCACTCGCCTTCCAAACCACCCTCTTTCCCCTCCGAGCGAACTTGACCTTCTAGTTGAAGGAACGACTTTCCAGTTAATTCACTTCCCTGAAAAGAGGTGGTATCTGTGAAAGGGCCTAACCCTGAGCCTGGAATACGTTTTTACTTATTTAAGCCACACTCTTACAGTGATGCACAGAGTCCACCAGGCACATAGTAGGTGCTCATATAAAATGTTTGGCTGGTTGTCATCTGCTCCAGGGTTAGATGAGGGTGACATCTCAAAGAGCAAAGCAGCACAGGGGAGAAAGGTGACCTGGGCCCTCTCACCTGTTTTACCAAATTCTTCTTCGGTGCTGAGAGACCCCTCATTTGAAGATAGCCAGTATTGGGCAAAGTTATAATTTACCTGTATCTGTTTAATGTTACTAAAACTTTGATCTACAGATGCCTTGTCTTTACAAGGTCCATTCCAATCAGAAAGTAGGAACATCTAGGTAGAGTGGGGGATGTTTTCCAAAGGGGAATATTATAAATACTTGGAAAACTTGGCTAAAGAAACTTTTCTTGTGTGCTGACAGTGCAACCTATTGTCCTGAACGCTTCCTCTTCCTATGCATTCAACAAGGATATTTTTTCCTTTTGTCTCTAGTGGAAAAAGCTACGATCCGGCCAGCCAAAAGCATGGACTCACTGTGCTCAGTGCCCGTGGAAGGTGAGGTTTTACCGTGGGGTTTGGAACTGGCAGTTGCAGCTGGGAGACTGCAGCTGCCACACCATACTCGCCTTCACAAGCTACTGGGCCTGCTTGGGTCATGCACAATCCCCCGGTCCCATCCCTCCCTGGCTTTCTTTGAACTCAAGGCGTTCACGTAGCCCTTGTGTTAACTCCCCCTACAGGGCCGCTCTCTTCCTCCAGCCTTCCTCTATCCGCAGAGGGAGACGACAGCTCTTGTACATTCACACCTGAACCCGGGGAAAGGGCAACCCCTGAAAACCAGGGCTTCTCCGTGGGCCTGACAAAGAGCCGGCACTGATTTATGCCTCAGAACTCTGTGCCTTGGTACTTTCGTGCCTTGAATTTTTGTATTTCCATAGACATTAGCTTTCTCATTGTCATGTCATGATTTTGAATCGGTGGCTTCATTCATTCGTCAATCAACATGATAGGCACCAGCCTGGCGTGTCGCTGGTCATCCCTTTTTGGAGTAGATGTGCGCACAGTTGCAAGCGAGGTGACACCTACTATCAAAGCTACACCTCACACCGCCTTGGTTCTTACAGCTGTAGCCTTCAGGGCTGACTTGCCCGCCCCCCTCTCTTTCTCCTAAGCAGCCCACAGCATTGCCACAGGGGCTTCCCAGCAGAGATGAGACCCCCCACATTTACCCCATGACTTTCCAACCCCTTTAATAGAAAATGTTTTGCTCTTTGATAAATGAAGCAATCTGAAATCATACAGAACATCTTTAGAACAACTTTTCAAAATAATTCTCAACTTGTAAAACACTCAGTGAACTCTTTTTAACCTAGCCACCCATTTGCTTTGGGTTTTTGAAACCTCTCGAGGCAATTCTTGCCCAAAGGTGGTGTAAAAAGATAAGTTTCAAAAATAAGATTCTGTTATTTTGCCCTCTTAGTCTCCTAACTCTTGAGCAAACATCATTCTGTCCACTCCCACCCGTCTTTTTTTTTAATATATATTTTATTAATTTTGTACAGAGAGGAAGGGAGAGAGATAGAGAGTTAGAAACATCGATGAGAGAGAGTCATCGATCAGCTGCCTCTTGCTCACCCCCTACTGGGGATATGCCTGCAACCAAGGTACAAGCCCTTGACCGGAATCGAACCCAGGGCCTTTCAGTCCCCAAGCCGACGCTCTATCCATTGAGCCAAACCGGTCTCGGCCCCACCCGTCTTTTTATGCTCATGATCTCCATGTGATGCTTGGAGGATGACTGCTCTGGTTAGCAGTGGCCCTCTTTTGGAAACGTCTCTCCCTGCAAAGTTGAAAGCAAATACATGTAACACAGCGAGTGGCCCTGTCAGGGCATCCTAACAGAGCAGGCGCAAGAGAGGATGCTTCCTATCTCATCAGCCAGAGGTTCTGGCTCTGTCTTTCTCGTTAGGGTGCTCTGTCTTTCCAATAGTCCGCGCCTTCTCTTACCAGCTGCTGACCCTGTGTTTGCCTGCTTTTTCACTAGGGAAAGACACCAAAGGCAATTTCAATCTATCAGTCGCCACTGGTGGATTTTTCATTCCAGCCGCGAAAATGCATGCGACCAGCATTGGCAGCTCCTGTGACCTCACCAAGCAAGAGGGTGATTGGGGCCCGGAGGGGATGCCGGCAGGGGCCGAGGGGGGCTGCGACCTGAGCAGTGACCGAAGCCAACCCCAGGGTGCTCAGGCCCGGCCCCCGCCGGAGCAGCTGAAGGTGTTCCGGCCCATCGAGGATCCCGAGAGCGAGCAGACAGCCCCGAAGATGCTGGGCATGTTCTACACCTCGAGCGACAGCCCCAGCAAGTCTGTCTTCACCAGCAGCCTCTTCCAGATGGAGCCTTCCCCCCGGCACCAGCGCAAGGCGCTCAACATCTCAGAGCCCTTTGCCGTGTCCGTGCCGCTCCACGTGTCCGCGGTCATCAGCACCAACAGCACCCCGTGCAGGACACCCCCAAAGGAGCTGCAGTCTCTCTCCAGCCTGGAAGAGTTTTCTCTCCAGGGGTTGGAGAGCGGAGGCTGTCCTGAAGAGAAGCCCTCGGGAGCTGAGGCTTCTGCAGGTAACGCAGGCGAGGGGAGGGCTCTCGTTCCACTGCAGGAGATTGAAAACCAGACTCACATTTGCTTACACCAGTGGTTCTCAACCTTTCTAATGCTGCGACCCTTTAATACAGTTCCTCATGTTGTGGTGACCCCCAACCATAAAATTATTTTTGCTACTACTTCATAACTGTAATTTTGCTACTGTTAATGAATCGTGATGTAAATATCTGTGTTTTCTGATGGTCTTAGGCGACCCTGCTAGTGGGTCTCACAGGTTGAGTACCGCTGCTATAGAGTCCAACACCATCGGAAAACACAGGTATTTGCATTACGATTCTTAACAGTAACAACGTGAGGAACTGTATTAAAGGGTCGCGGCATTAGAAAGGTTGAGAACCATTGGCTTCACAGAGTTTGCAAGACAGGGCAGTAAAGTGGCTAAGACTGTGGGCTCCGAGCCAGACCATCTGTCGGGAAGCTGTCAATCACAATCACAATCCATCTTTGTAGATAACAGATTTCTGTGACCTTGGGCTACAGACTTGACTTTTCAGGGTCTGAACTGACTTGTGTGTGAAGTGAAAGATTGGGTAATGCAGGGTTTCTCAACCTCAGCACTAGTGACATTTGGGCCTGGGTAATTTTTTTCTTGTGGGGGACTGTTCGATACTTTACAGGATTATTTAGAAGCATCCATGACTTCTACCACTCCCCCCACCCAGTGAGACAACCAGAAATGTCTCCAGACATTGCCAAATGTCACCTGCAAAAGGGAGAGGCACGGTGGTCTCCAGTTGAGAGCTACTGGACAGATGACCTTCCATCTCTGATGGTCTGCAACTCTGGAATCTGAACACAGGACACAGCTAGGAGGGAAGGTTGGAGAGTGTGAGAGAGCAGGGAGCGGGGAAGGTGCCCTCCATTCTTGGGAAGCAGGATGAGTCCAGATCAGTGCCTGGGCTGGGAACAGCCTCTCTTAAAAGGAGCTGTCAGTCTCTTTCAACCAGTAACTCGCATCCTCATTGCAGCTTCGGTACCTAAGAAGGTGGCTCTGGAGGATGCCAAGCCAGGCCCAGGAGCAGCGAGGACAGTGGAATGCAGCAAAGGCCTTTCTGTGGAGCTAGGAGCCCAACAGGAGAAGAAAACCTCGGAAACCCCCCCGAGCCGTCAACATTCAAGTGAATCAGAGAAGAGGCTGGATCCAGAGAATGTGGTGGAGGAGGCGCCAGAGGCTGGCCAGGTGGAGCCCAGTGCTCCACAGGAGGGCCCCATGGCCAGGGCAGAAGTGGTGTTTCTGCAGGAGACGGTAAGGTGGAACCTCTGTCGGTCCAACCAGTAGTTCTCTTTTTCCCAAGGGCTCTTAGAATAGCTTAGTTTTGTTTGTTTGTTTGTTTGTTTGTTTTGAAGAACCAGTGTTGGCCAAAGGGATTTTAGGAGACATCCTTCTAATCAGGTCTTGGGATTTATTTTTGCAGAGATCCTACAATAATGCGAATAACCATCCAGCTTAGGTTCCCTAGAACAGACTCAGCACTAAATATTTCTGACCTGAAGTCACCATAAACCAGTCATATGCCCTTAAATTGTAATGACATTCACTCCCAGAAGCAGCACAAAGTCTGCTTGTCATATCCTGGTCCCAACGATGATGACCATTCATGGAGCCAGCTCTCTCCTACCCGACATCCTGGGTAGAGGGTGTTTATGTTTGTAAAACCTTCTCTAATATTTCCAGAATCCATTCCTTCCTCCTGTTGCTTCTAGAGAGGTTAAAGCATGATGCCTGCCCTCTCTGGTTTGGTTCCGTGGATGGAACTCAGCCTGTGGACTGAAGGGTCCCAGGTTTGATTCTGGCCAGGGGCACATGCCCGGGTTGTGGGCTTGATCCCGGTAGGGGAGCGTTCAGGAGGCAGCCAATCGATGATTCTCTCTCATCATTGATATTTCTATCTCTCCCTCTCCCTTCCTCTCTAAAATCAATAAAATATATTTTAAAAATAAATAAATAAATAAATAAATAAATAAATAAATAAATAAAAGCATGATGCCAGTGCTTACTAAACCTCTTCCACTTTTTAGAGGTGGAATTTTCCAAGGTTTCTAGGGTTGTCCTTGCATAAGATGAAGGTATGAGGAGGTTTTCCGTGGAGCAGTCCTGCATTTGGGAGGCTCTGTGAGCTGGAGGAATGCGTCAAAGAGGATAGGCAGCCCTGGCCGGTGTTCCTAAGTGGTTAGAGCGCCAGCCTGCACACTGAGGGGTCGAGGGCTCAATTCCCAGCCAAGGCACGTACCTGGCTTGCAGGTTTGTTCCCCAACTTAGTGCCTATGTGGGAGGCAACCAATCAGTATGTCTCTCTCACATCAGTGTTTCTCTCTGTCTCTTCCTCTCTAAAAATCAATGGGGAAAAATGTCCGCGAATGCGATTATATATATATATATATATATATATATATATATATATATATATATATATGATGAGAGAGTTTCGATCTGGGATTGGTTGAACCCGTAGATGCATAGGTGCAGAACCCTAGATATGGAGGCCCAACTGTATGTTATGGCACATGGCAAGCACTGAATAAACATCCAGTGATTATTAGTGCTGTATCCTTTATTCGCTGAGGTGCCCAGCCTGGCACTGCTCCAGACCCTGGCAGACAGTGAGGACGATAGCCCTGAGAGCCCTTGGTTCTAAATAAGTAGTTTCTTGATGTTTTCAGGAAGAAGATGATCTGACTAGCACCCTGATCTGGCCCGAGATTCAACAGGAGCTAAAAATCATTGAATCTGAGGAGGAGCTGCCCTCGTTGCCACCACCTGTTCTGAAGGCCACCCCAACTCAGCCTGTTCTTGAGTCAAGTCCAAAGCCTTTTGCTACCCCAGAGCCTCCTGGGAGCTCGCCTTGTGTCTCCACCGCAGCTCCAGTCTCTGCCCCTCTGGAGGAGCGGGCTAGGGATCCAGCCAAACAGAGCACCGAGGGGACTCCCACAGCAGCCAACAGAGAGAAGCCAGAGACAGTCAGCCGCCCCCACAGACCTGAGACTGAGAAGGCTCCGCGCCCAGACCCCACCAGCCTGGCTCCTCTGGAAATCGTTCCGGGTGAGACGGCATCTCCACCAGCAAAGGTGGAGGTGGGAGGCCCAGGGAACCGGTCTCCTCTGATCCCACCTGCCCCACCCCCTCCAACGCCTCTGGAGGAGGCACCTCGAGTCCCGCGACAGCAGGACGGCCCTGAGAGGGAAGACTCCTCCAAGAATCCGAGGACAAATCCACACGTAGACCAGCCGAAGGCCCAAGGCAGTTCTGTGATCCCCAGTCCTTGTCAGGGAGACAAGGCCCCTCCAGAACAAAGTGAGAAGCTGAAGTCAAAGAATGCTGCTTCCGGTGGAAAAGGCGCTGGTTTTCCAAGCCCAACGAGGGAGGGTGAGCCCTCCCCGCCCTCCCCGCCCGGCGAGGGGGACACCGCCCATTCAACACAGGAGCCCTCAGACGGCGACGATGACGACCCCGGGACGGATGTGGCCCAGCACGGCCTCGAGATGGTGGAGCCCTGGGAAGAGCCCCAGTGGGTGACGAGTCCCCTTCACTCCCCCACCCTGAAAATCGGGCAGGAGGGCCTGGTGCAGGGCCTGCAGTGCCACCGGCTGGAAAAGAGGCTTTCCCACAGGCCTAGCCTTCGTCAGAGCCATTCTCTAGACAGCAAACCCACAGCTGAGAGCCAGTGGGCTTTCCAAGGCCCCTCCTCCAGCAGCTGTGCCAGCCTTGAAGCTGAGGGGAATTCAGACGCGCTGCAGCCCCCGCCGCCCAGGAGAGAGGTTAGTGGATGGGATGAGAAAGCCCTGAGGTCCTTCCGAGAGTTCTCTGGCCTGAAAGGGATAGAGGCCCTTCCCAGTCAGAAGAGACCAGGTGGTGTGCATCCCAAACCAGCAGAAACCAGCCCTGTCAGCCGCGCAGAGGGAAAGGAGCTGGAGACACACCTGGGACGCAGCAGCCCTCCGACTGAGCAAGGTAGTGTGCCCGGACCAGAGAGCGGCATGGAGCACTCACCGCGTGTGCAGGACAGCACCCCGCACGGAGAGCATCCCCCAAAGTTACAGCTGAAGAGCACTGAGTGCGGGCCCCCGAAGGGGAAAAATAGGCCTTCTTCCCTGAACTTGGACTCTGCCATTCCCATCACTGACCTCTTCCGGTTTGAAAATGTGGCCTCATTTGCTTCACCTGGAATGCAGCTCTCTGAGCCAGAAGACCCAAAGGTCACGTGGATGACCTCATCTCACTGTAAAATAGACCCCTGGAGGGTTGACTCCCAGGACTCTCAGGACCTGGACATTGTTGCTCACGCCCTGACCGGCCGCCGTAACTCAGCTCCCGTCAGTGTGTCGGCTGTGAGGACCTCCTTCATGGTCAAAATGTGCCAGGCCAGGGCGGTCCCAGTCATCCCTCCCAAGCTTCAGTACACAGAGATCCCACAGCCCCTGCCCTCGCAGAGCCCAGCGGAAGGCGGGGCTCAGCCTCTGGAGAAGAACCCAGAAGAACCTAGATCCATTGATGTGACCTCTGTGAAACCCGCCAAAGGTGATTCTCCCTCGTCCTTGGAAAGCCCCAAGGAAGAGAAACCAAAGCAAGACACAGGAGCCAAGGAGTCCTTGTCCATGGATGCCACCGCATCCCGCACATGTGAAGGACCCAGCCTTTCTCCAGAACCAGGTTTGGCTAACCTGCTCTCCACCCAGGATTCAGTAGTACAATGCAGAAAGCGCACATCAGAGACAGAGCCATCTGGGGACAACCTTCTTTCTTCAAAAATTGAGCGGCCATCAGGGGGCTCTAAGCCTTTCCACAGGTCAAGGCCAGGGAGACCCCAGAGCCTAATCTTATTCAGCCCTCCTTTCCCCATCATGGACCATCCGCCTCCCTCTTCCTCAGTGACAGATTCCAAGGTCCTGCTGTCCCCTATCCGAAGCCCCACCCAGACAGTTTCCCCAGGCCTTCTGTGTGGGGAATTGGCAGAAAACACATGGGTCACACCTGAAGGGGTCACGCTCAGGAATAAAATGACCATTCCTAGGAACGGCCAGAGACTAGAGACCTCAACCAGCTGTTTTTACCAGCCCCAGCGGAGATCTGTGATTCTGGATGGAAGAAGTGGGAGGCAGATAGAATGACTTCGGTTCACCTGCTGGTGTCTGAAAAAACAAAAAAACAAAAAAAAATGCATGATTCATTGGGAACTTATTACTGGCCAACTTGTCATTGGTCCAGACACAGGTTACCCAAGGCAAGGCTTGTTTGGGCCTCTTCTCTTCCTTCAGCCTTTTGGCCATGTATTAATTAGTCCATTTGTCAAAGGAAAGGTCAAGGGAAGGACCACGAGATGAAATTTAGATAAGTCTGCGTGAGAAGGTGGGAGAGGTCAGATAAGGGAGAGGATGGAAGGCTTGCCCCCAGTGAGATCTGGGGCTGGTCTGTGAGTTGCTCCCCCCGTTGCCATTATCTATTCCTGTGGCGAGCTGGATGTGACAATGACTTGTGAAAGAGAGATCCTTTGTGTTGAAAAATGTTGCTACTGAGGTTTGAAGGCTTCCTCTTTACTTTGTGCTTTTTAATGCTGTGTGAACGTGTACTCTCCAGAATAGAGCAGATTTGGAAAAGTAAACTAACGTACACTTAGATCTCCCAGCGGGTGAATTTGCTCATGCTCTTTCCCCGGAATTCCTGCTGCCCTGCCGGAGATGGCTCCATGTGCCAGCATCCAGAAAATCAGAATCCATACTCAGGAACCAACTCTGAGACAGACACAATCTAAGAAGACTTTCTGGCCATGGCTTTTTATTAATTTGGGACTCCCAACGGCCACTACCCTGACCTCTGACTTATAAGTCCAATAGCTGGGCAGGATTGCTTCCATTCCAATACCACAGTCTAAAAGCAGGATGTCACCTTAGAGAAAAGCCTCAGACACAAATAGGACTACATTCCAAACAGTATGTGTTTAACTGGTGGGGCATTTGCAGAAAACACCCCTAGCTCAGCCTCCTCTCCTTCCACACTAGGCTGGGGCAGGAGTGCAGGACAAGATAGGGGGGAGCCCTAGCAGGTAGCCCTGCCACTCGATGGCAGCTGCCCTTCAGAAAAGTATTCCAGTGTAGCCAGTGGATGCCTTCCTTCCTCCCTCTCCCTTCATTGTTCAGGAGCAGATTTGAGGCACCCTCCCACAATCCTCCTCATCCAACACCCACCCTAGATACTCAAACTGGCCCTTCTCCTTTCTATATAAAAGCAGAAGCAATAAACCAACCTGATTTTGTCAGTTATTTAGGACTTCCAATAGTTCTTTCTTTTTCAGCTGGAGAGAGAAAGAAGGAATAAAACCTGCTGGCAGATTTTTGGTGCTTCCCCAAAAAGGGCTTGATAAGAGCCCTGCTCAAGGCAAAACCCACCAGGGAATCAACACTTTCAAACCTAAGACAACTCTCTTGTTTGTGAAACAAAAAAAAAGAGACCTACTTTTAGCCCTAGGTACCTCCTCTCAGGTTCACGTCTGGCTGTGTCCAGAAGCACAGTCATTGCAGAGATTTCTCTAAGGGCCAGCAGTACTCCTGGGCAGACCTCACAACCAAGGCCGGTGCTGGGCTGGGTCGGAGATGAACTCAAGTTACCGCCTCCAGTGAGGAACTGGAAGCTGGGTGCCCACATTACATATTCCTCTCTCCTTTCTTCCCTGGTAAGCCTTACAGTTTGGAAACCTTAACCTATACCTTCTAAGCCGGTGTCTATAGCAGGGGCAGGCCAGCTGATGGCTTCTGCTTTCAGAGGCACTGAGATGAGTGAGCTGGGGGAGCAATCAATAGGTCTTTGGTCGGTGTCTGCATTCTCACTAGATGAGCAAGACCTCGGACCAACAGCCAATGAGATGTCAACCCCTGAGAGAAGTCGTAGGGCGTAGCATTTTGCCCTCCAGGGAAGCAAGGTGAAGAAATACACTGGTGACAGATGAGAAAGGCCACGTTCAGGAGATTTGAGAAGTACATTCCTGCCTTATCAGAAAATGTGGGCGGGTAGGCTTCATCGAAATCTCCCTGCGCTGTGCTCCTACACCTCCATAAAGACTGTGTCCCAGTTAGAATGCGAGAGAGGGAAGGAACTGCACTTTGCTTCTCCAGCAGAACTCTGAGCCAAGTGATGAAATATTGAAACTATTTTGTGATTATTTTACATTTGTGTTTGTAACATGTAGGAGCTATATTTTTTACTTGGACCCAGGCTGAGAAGCCACTACTTACATATTAGCAAGGGAGTTCAATTTGCACACCCACATTGCTTTATTGAACGGCTGCCGTGTTCCTGATTCTGACATCTTTCGGTGATAGCATCATCATCTTCAGGAGCCGTGGTGGGCACGTGGATGCCAAACTGAGACACAGTGACAACTGTCTGGAGATATTTCCTACTGTGGGCTTCCCTCCCCAGTCACTCCAGAAGGCCTTGGGAGCTGACTCACTTCTCAGGGTCCCGCCGCTGAAGCGTGGGCTTCTCCTTTGACTAACACCCAGCCTGTCAACTGTCAGAACATGTTCATAACCTTCCTGTGGCCTGGGTGAGCCTGGCGCTGAGGAAATTCCATTCCAGTGCAACGGAAACATTGTATTTTGCTCCTGAAATTGTTCCTCAAAATGCCCTGAATTACCTATCTGGTCACCCACTCGGGACTGAAAACTAAACCCTCTGAGAAGGGCCAGCTGGGAATCAGAGCCCGTCCAGGAGAGGGCAGGAGATGGCTGCTGTGTTTAGGGGGGCTTACAGAGTGCCCCAGAAAGGGCAGCAGAACCAAATTCTCAAAGGGCCATCTCCACCATCAGTCCTCTAACTGGGTGTGGCTGACTTTAAATGTTGAATTTGAAGTGTTTTCTTTCAGTGTTAATGTTTGCTTTAAGAAAGTAATAACCTATATTTATTTGCAAAATGGCCTTCCCAAGCCAACTCCTCCCCTCCCCCCAAAAGGAAATTGATTTTTATTCTCTGCTTCACACAGAATATGGAGAAACCTGACCAAGAACTCCACTGAGATAATGTTAAGCCTAAAATTCAAGATATTATGAAAAATTTTGGATTCTGGGGAAATAAAAAAATGTAAGCATCATTCCCAACGTTTATCAAGACCTTTAGAACTCCTTGAAGAGTCTAATGAAAAAGAGGAGAGAGATAGTAGCAAATGAAACCATCTATAAACAATCAAGAGCAAAATTTAAAACCATTAAGCTACCAAATTAAAGAGTAAGGAGGGAAATGTAGCAACTAGCATCTTTTAATAGGATTGTCAATAGTGTTCAAGTCGCTTACTGACTGTCATCAAATTAAACACAATTGCAAATCCAATTCAAAGTACTAGGGAAGACACTTAGGCGCTGAGATTTTTGCTTTGATCATGTAAAAAATTAGAGAGTAGTATGAATAAATAGTTCTGAGATTTTGCATGGTCCTAGCTGGTTGGGTTGTGAAGTCCTGTTGGTGCAAGGTAACACCATGCTCCATTCTCCTTGAGAGTGTTTTCCGGGACTTCCATAGTCAGAATGGGTTAACTTCTGCCGATGATGAAGTTAGAGGTTCAAGATAAACTGTCACTTTCGTGTCTAATGTTTAGCATGTGATGATCACATTGGACTAAAATTGGATGGGACAGCCGTTTGTCTGCACAGGCTGTGGGTTCCTGCCTGAAGAAGTCCTGGGGAACATGATTCATTTATCTGGGATTGGAATAGGAGAGGTTCGGGGTCGGTCCAATTCCCACCAGGATTGATTAGAATTAGATTCTGCCTGTCCTCTCTGATGACAATATGAATTTGGGCGTTAAGTGTTGCCAGGAGAACGTTTTTAGGTACTTCCAAAGGGAGATCAGCTCAAAATTGGAATAACCAAAAAACATGTCCTTTTTCAATACCTTTCTAGCAAAGTCAGGTCAGAAGAGGGAGCTAGCATGAGGATTGTAGAAGGGTAATTGCCTGGGATCAGTGTCAGTCCAGAAAGGATAAAATTGGGAACAACCAAAGACTGATTGGCACACAGTAGGTCATTTAGTAGTCTGGAGGTTCATTAGCAAATGCAGGGACCACTTCTCTATGAGGCTGAAGGATGTAACTAAGTAAAAAAAATTCATGACGTACATAGCCATGCATTTTACTGGATGAATCACAATGCTTTGCAATAACTTAATGCCATAGTACTTCCTGGCGTCTAATTCTGCAAGGTAAAGCACTTTTTCAAAGGAGTTTATTAGAAAGCAACATGATTTCAGCCTGTTTGTTGAGCTTGACGAATATGTTTCCAAAGATATAATCAAAATGTTTTTCTATTAAAAATATATTAAACCTATCCATAGAGACATTTATGTGTAATTAAAACAGATTGTTATGCTTTTAAAATGTACTCTAATAAATGATATGAAATGCAATACTTATAATGGCACTATGAACTGGAGAAGGACACAGGGGTCATCAAAATCGATGCTAGGAAAAGGTCATTATATGCATCAGTCCCATTGTTCTAGTTTGTTCTGTTTGATGTCATTTTTTATTACTTCAAAGTATGATTTCACAGCAAAGTCCTGATGATTATCCTATCTAATAAAGAGGTAATATGCAAACTGACCATCACTCCAACACACAAGATGGCTACCCTCATGTGGTCAAAGATAGCTGCCCTCATGTGGACACAAGATGGCCGGCAGGGGAGGGCAGTTGTGGGTGATCAGGCCAGCAGGGGAGAGCAGTTGGGAGGGACCAAGCCTGAAAGGGAAGGCAGTTGGGGGCAATTGGGCTGGAAGGGGAGCAGTTAGGCATCATCAGGCTGGCAGGGGAGTGGCTAGGGGGTGATCAGGCTGAAAGGCAGAATCAGTTAGGGGCAATCAGGCAGGCAAGCAGGCAAAGGGTTGGGAGCCAGCAGTCCTGGATTGTGAGAGGGCAGTCAGAAATTCCTTGAGGGGTCCCAGATTGGAGAGTGCAGGCTAGGCTGAGGGACACACACACACCCCTGCACGAATTTTGGGGTACTGGGCCTGGTGTGTGTGTGTGTGTGTGTATGTATATATACTTTTTATTTCAAAGAGGAAGAGAGAGATAGAAACATCAGTGATGAGATTCATTGATCAGCTGCCTCCTGCTTGCCCTAC